GAAAATGCCTCTGCCTGGGGACCTCTTCTAATATGCTAATATCCTTTCAATCGCAAGGAGATGAGTAATTCTAGGAGAGTGCATATATTGACTAACTACACTGATTGCATAACTGATGTCAGGTCGTGTGAGGCAAAGATAGAGAAGCTTTCCAACTAAATGTTGGAACATAGCTTTATCTTCAATAGGCTCTCCTCCCTCTGCACTAATCCTGTGGTTCTGTTCAATAGGTGTGTCCGCAGGCTTAACTCCCAACTTTCTTGTTTCTTCTAGTAAATCAAGAACATACTTTCGTTGAGAGACAAAAATCCCATGCTTGGATCTAGCTACCTCAATGCCCAAGAAGTATCGTAGTTCCCCTAGATCTTTTACCTCAAACTCTTGATGGAGTTGCTTAAGAGACTCAATTTCACTAGTATCACTCCTTGTTACTACAATATCGTCCACATACACGGCAAGCAAGGTTACGGACGAATCCACTCTCTTAATAAATAAGGTGTGGTCTGACTGGGCCTGCACATATCCGAACCTATCAATGGATCGTCTGAATCTGTCAAACCATGCTCTGGGAGACTATTTTAGTCCATATAGAGCTTTGTTCAACTGACAAACCTTTCCTATCTCCATACCATAAAATCCTGGAGGCAACTGCATGTAAACTTCTTCCTGCAAGTCTCCATTGAGAAAGGCGGTTTTAAAATCCATCTGATACAATGGCCAAGAGTAACTAGCTGCAAGAGATAATAGTACTCTGTTAGTGGTCATTTTTGCTACGGGTGCAAAAGTTTCTAAGTAGTTAATACCATATGTCTGAGTAAATCCTTTTGCAACTAATCGGGCCTTATGCCTTTCAACAGAACCATCAACATTATGTTTCACAATGAGTACCCATCTACATCCAACCGGTTTCTTTCCTTTAGGATGATCAACTATCTCCCAAGTATTGTTTTTGATGAGGGCATCCATTTCTACTTTTATTGCATCTTTCCATTCTGGTACTTCCAATGCTTCTTGTATTGTTCTGGGAATGGGAATATCAGCAATGAATGCGAGAAAAGACTTGTAGGAGGGAGACAAATGATCATAGGATAGGAATTGAGAAATGCAGTGAACTGTGGTGCAACTGTGTTTGCCTTTACGGACTGCTATGGGGAGATCAAGGTCCCTGAATGAAGGTGAAGGCACCACGGTTGGATGTCTCTCCTCTGTAGTATTTGTGGTACTTGGATCTGGATCTACAGAAGGAACTAGGGCTACTGTGGTACCTGGATCTGGATCTGTAGAGGGGACTGGGACTGGCTTGCACTGCTGAAGTTTGAAATCAACCTGTCTCCATCGTCTATGATAGACTCTCACATCCTTGCACCTTTGACATCCTTCCCCATTATATCCTTCTTCACTTAATGGGTTTGGTAAAGGAACTTCCAATGATCTACTCCCGACTTCACTATTCTCCCCCTGAGGAGAAACCCTTGGATAATAGGGTTTATCCTCAAAGAAGGTGACATCCATCGAAACAAATCTTTTTCTAGAAGTCGGTTCATAAAACAATATCCCTTTCGAGTTTGGACATAACCAAGGAAAATACATTTGGAGGCCTTGGGATCAAATTTGGAATGACGAGGGACAAGGATTTGAACGAAGCAAGTGCACCCAAAGGTTTTGAGGGGAATGGTAAACAATTCTTTATCAGGGTATAAAAGGGTAAATGGAGTTTTCATGTCAAGAACGCGTGAGGGAATCCAATTAATGAGATAAACAGCTGTAAGAACAGCATCCCCCTAGAAACGTATAGGCACATTTGAGGTAAACATAATGCCTCTGGCTACCTCTAATATGTGCCTATTCTTTCTTTTAGCAACCCCATTCTACTGTGGTGTATGTGGGCAGGTACTTTGATGGATAATCCCATGATCAAGCATGTAGGAGGCTAATGGGTTTGCAAAATATTCTTTTGCATTATCGAATCAAAAATTTTAATTTTGACCCCGAATTGGGTTAAACCAAAATATTTTTTCCTTTAGGCTAATGGGTTTACCTCATCTCGAGAACGCATAAGGTAAACCCAAGAAAATCAAGTGTAATCATCAACAAATAATAGGAAATATCTGTACCCCCCCACCCCCATGGCAGTGGTATGATAGGGTCCCCAAACATCAGTATGCACAATTTCAAAATGAATATTGCTTCTGTTATTACTTAATGAATAGGTAGTCCTGCAATGTTTTGCAAGCTCACAACTTTCACATTTCAAACTAGTCATTTGGACATATTCAAATATACTGGGAAACAAACTTTTCAAAGCCTGAAAGGATGAATGGCCCAATCTATTATGCCAAAGATGACCTGATCAATAGACTGAGAAACAAAGGATTTCTTAGTTTCACTATCTTCCTGATGAGCACTTCCTCCAAGTAGGTAGATTCCATTTGTCTCACAGCTAGTCCCAATCACCTTCCTTGTTTCCACATCCTGAAAAACACATCAATCAGGAAAAAAGGTTATTGAACAATTCTGCCCTTTTGTAATGCTGCTAACTGAGAGCAAGTTAGTATTAAGCTTAGGAACATGCAGGACGGAGGATAGTGAAATTGCATCAGACAACTTGATGTCTCCTTTGCCAGAAATAGGAACAAGGGATCCATCATCAATGGACACTTTGTCTTTACCAGAAGATAAATGATAGGTAGAGAAAAGTAATGGCAAGCCAGTCATATGGTCAGATGCTCCTGAATCTATTATCCAAGAATGTTCTGTATTACCTAGAGCTGAAGCATGATAAGCTGAGGCCCGATTACCTGATTGAGCAAAAGATGAGGTTGAAGGAGCTGATGATGGCTGAGGAGATGATACTGAGTTATTGACTTCACTTTCTAATTGTGTCAGAGCAGCTCGGACGGCAGCTAGGGTATCTAGAGGGGTACCTCTTGAAGTCGTTGAGGCTGCACTATCAATGTTGACAGCCATATTGGCATTACCCTTTTTGTTTCTGAGTTTTGCTGGAACTAGATGTGGATGCAACTTCCAACAAGTATCTTTGGTGTGTTTAGGTTTCTTACAATGTTTACAAACTAGATCCTTTTTAGTCTCTTTCTTCATATCCCTTTCCTTATCTCCCCCTAGCTTGGGTTTAACTGCTGCCAGGGCAGATTTGAAAGGCTACTACTGTAACATAACCTTTCTCCTAGTCTCTTTACTGTGCACTAGGGAATAGGCTTGAGATAGAGTTACACTTTCTCTTGTCAATAGCTGCTGTCTTACAATATCATATTCAGAATTTAGACCAGCCAAGAACTCAAATACTCTGTTAGTTTCAATTTGCTTTCTATAAGTCTGTGCATCTTTCTGACTCTCCCATTCAATTGTCTCAAGGTGGTCAATCTCATGCCACAGGGATTTTAGGGTTGAGAAATAAACAGAGATCTGTTTCTCTCCTTGTCTAAGATTTTTTACCTCACATTTCAGCTCATAAGCGCTAGCAACATTAAGGGGCTGAGAGTAGGTTTCTTTCACAACATCCCAAATTTCTTTAGCTATTTTTGCCCATAAGTAATTTCGGCTGATGTGTGGCTGCATAGAGTTGCACAGCTATGTCATCACCAAATAATTTTCCTGAATCCACTTAGCATAAGTGGAATCCTCCTTGGTTGGTTCCTTCACATCTCCCAACAAAAAGTTCAGCTTTCCTCTTCCCCCAGTGGCCATCATGGTTAATTGGGCCCACTAAGTAGTTTGAACCATCAAACTTTACAGTTGTAATTTGGAATGTGTTTTCAGCCATGCTGCCTGAACCAGCCCTAAAAACACCCTCCCCTTGGCTTTTAAACTCCATTAGAATGCTTCCTAATTACTGTACCAATCGGCCTACTGGGTCTGTAGTAGGTAACAGGAGGGTTCTGATTCAGAAACCCTAATTTTTGTGACAGTCGGCCTATTGAGACTGAACTGTATCAGTCCTGTTGAAAAAAAAAAACTCTACTGGATCTTCCAAAGAGCAAAGAAAAATCAAGGGAGACAAATCTTATTACCTCCTTGAAGTAATAACAGCCCTGACACTTGAGGGTTTTCTCTTAAACCCTAAAAGGAATGCAGAAAGGAAGGTTTTTTTTCTTAACCGTACCTCTTATATCAAGAGATCCTTGCTGCTGATTTCAAGAAAGGCTTGAAAACTTACCAGAAAATTCTGAGAAACTCTGATCTTGATAATCAACTTCAGTCTTGACTAGAAAAAACCGAACCGATCTTGAACCAGAATTCTTCTGAAACTTTGATCGAACTTCAGTCTTGAATAGGAAAAAACCGATATTGAACCAGAATTCTTCTGAATTTTTGATTGCCACCTCTAGTCTTGATCAAGAACTGATCTTGATCTTCTTCTCTTCTTCTGATTCTTCCTGGTTATCAAAGATCTGATCCAATCTTTGGACTGCTGCTGTAGATAACCTCCAAGAATCAGCCGAAGGCAGCTTTCTCTATTCTTCCAGCCCTAGGCAGTTCTCATGTGGTCGGCTGGATCAAACTCACATGAGAAGCCCTAAATTTGGCTCTGATACCAAGTAGATGTACAAGACTACAGAGACTCGTTAGATTTTGAACAGAAAATAAAAGAGAAGAAGAGAAGAAGAGAGATAGAGAAGGAGAACTCGTGGGAGAAGCTTTGAAAGAAGAGTGGTTGAAGTGCTTAAAACAGCTGCTCCACTCCTTAATTTATATACATAGTTTCCTAATTGTAAAAGAACTTTAATGCTTACATGGCAATATAAGATAAGATTAAAATAAAACTAATCTTAGATAAGATGGAATAAAACTAATCCTACTAGGAAAGCTGATCCTAATCAATTAAATCTAAGTACATCTCAGGGTGTCACATGAATACACTTAATGTGGGGTCCACAGTTTCCTACAAGAATCAAAGCTGCACTTTCACTGTAACAAGATATAATAGACTTGGCACTTTATTGAAAGAGAAATTACTCACACCCCTTAGTTGTCTGTGACAGGAGAGGGCATCAGCACCAGGTGCAAGCAGATTTAGTGACCCTTCTGTTGGTTCTTCTGCATCAATGTTTGAGGGTCTAGGTTCTCCGGTTAGAGCCTGCGTTCTTTTATTACCAATCGGTTCTTTCTTTCTACAATGAAATCTGCAATTCTAATTATTTGGTCCCCTTCAGGTTAGAGATCCTCCATCATATTCAGCATCTGTTATGCAGAGATATGAGTCATTTGAGAACCCATTAGCTGGGCATGGTGCCCAAAGCTTGGAATCACAAGATGATGAACCAAGTCGTTCTGAAAATCGACAGTTTGGAAAAGCACTCTATGACTTCACTGCTGGTGGTGATGATGAGGTATTATAATGTGGTTTGTCATTTTGTGAAAATAGTCTTTGTCTTCTAAACAATAAAGAGCCTTGTGTAAAATGTTCAAGTAATAAAGTTCTATGCTTCAGACATACTTTGTTTTATATTTACGGAGGTGGTTTACTTTTAAGAGTTCAATATTACAAGACTTATGGGTTATTTGTTTTTCAGCTAAACCTGACAGCGGGAGAGGAACTGGAAATTGATTATGAGGTGGATGGCTGGTTCTATGTAAGTATATTAATAGAGTTACAGACCATGCTTTCATATTATCTGAATTGGAATTAGTACTTCTAATGTATTGACCTTTCAAATTTCAGGTCAAGAAGAAACGCCCTGGAAGGGATGGAAAAATGGCTGGTTTGGTCCCTGTCCTCTATGTTAGCCAATCTTGATGGGAATCTTCTTTACAAGAAATTTTGAATCTCCCCTATCTACCTTCTATTACTAGTATATCCAATCATCCCTTCTTTCTGCATTTCCTGGCGAGAAATGTGAACCCTTCAATTGTGACTTCTACCATTAGCCAAGAAAAAAATCATTTTCACAGTTGACAAACTATGAGGCCTTTTTCTCTAAACTATACTTGTCATTTTTCTGCAATCCGAATAGTATGAAGTTGGTTGACAGAAGCATTTTTCTTCTCCTTTTCCCCTCCAAAATTCACAGCAATTTCTCTTCCTTGTCCTTCCATTAGCATGGAGTTTGTAGAATTAGTCATTCATTTTTCAGGGTTTCGTTTTCTCATTTGTAACATATGAAAAAGTTCCTCTTTGTTTTTTTTCATTTATTTTTTGTGTATTCCATCTGTTTTCTTTTTTTTTTTTTTTGACCATTAATTTTCTGCCATAGTCATCACGGTAACCTATGGCAGATTGATCTTTCCCATCAACAGTAATGAGTATTGTATTGAGCAAATTGTAACCTTAGTTAATATATTTCTGTTTTGGGTTGTTCAAGTGGGAGTTGGAATGGTTATTAAAAGATTCCACAAGATGTTCTTTCTGCATACGAGTTACAGGAGCCCCCCCCCCGGTCTCCTCTCCCCCAGCCCCAGCCCCAAATTCATCTTTCTTTCATTTTCTCAACCCTTAGAGCTGTGTTTTGTTTGATAGAAAATAAGAGAAACAGAAAGTTGAGGGTAAGTTCTAAGGAAGTTCTTAAAAAACTCATTTATTTTCTGTCAAACCAAAAATAGCGTAAGGAAATCCTGGGAAATGATGCTATTCAAATAAGATGAAAAAATAAGGGATTCCATTTTGAGCTCTGAAGAACATGCCTAAACTAGAATTGCTTCTGGATAATTTATGCAAAATGTTGAAGAATTATTGACAGGACTGAAAATATTGTTGTAACCTCGAACTACATGCTACATTTCCGCCCTAAATAACTAAATGAAAATTGATCATGACTGATCCAATTTTTGAGTTATGGAAAGAGCAGAACATCACATGATTCGTCGACCATGGAAAGTGGTAATTGCTTGTATTTGTTTTATCCACTTGAATTTTCCCGCTGTTTAGTTTTCCTGTTAACTTAGTTCTGTTCTTTCATTTAAATTTCTTGATCACAGAAGTTCCAAGGACTAGGACTACCTTGTTAACGGCAAAAGCAGGCTGTTCATTGAACTTGGAATTGGTTCAACTACCAATAACACATCACTCTGCTCTGCTGATTCAACCATAATTATATTAAGATAAACATGTTTTTCATCTTTCAACCCATTATGAGGACCTGAAACTCAGTATTTGGCATATCAGTGACCCTGAAAATCGATGCGTATAGTACGATACGTATCATTGTATCAATACTTTGGACATTGTTTTCTTGCTTATAAACATTTAAATTTTTAGGGGATGCTAACCGAGTCCCATTCACTTCAAAAGTACCTTCTCCTATCTTTTCCCTCAATTGTACTTTGTCTAGTGTTTGGATCCACCAGTCCATGAGCAGATCCCCTTAAAGTTTGTTACTTTGCTTGCTTGATTTTTTAACCATCTGATCTGCCAAGCAGCATCTTCGTCTTGGAACAAAGAACTCATACTGATGTTAGGGGTCCTATAACATTCCTCAGCTATTGTTTGAAGAATCAAGACCAACCATTCATTGGCCCGAGAAGACATTGACTAGTCGCAAAAATAGATGAGTTTAACCTTTAATCTGGACATTACATGTAGAATTTCCTTGTAAAACTCAAGAGGAACATTATTCTACTACCCAATTAATTAAACATAGTAAACTAAGATGGTTATATTGCTCTGTGCAACTCGTATTGGTCAACTGATCTATCTAGGACGTGTCAGATGGTGGGTCCAGATGCTACAACCTTGTGGAGTTACCAAATACCAACTGAGTTTTGGTGGAGGCAACCATATATTATGAGACCTATCCGATGACACAAGGCTCAAAGCCTCAAAGTATCAGAGTATCAAGCAATTAGCAAATGACACGGTAGCTGAGATAATCAGCTGGCGTCCCTCCAAAGATGGAGGTGCAGGATGAAACCGGTATTTATAATTGCAGGTTGATCTGTCCCCACCCCTTAATCCCCTGTAATGGTTATCAAAAATATACATATTGGAATATTCTTGGGAAATAATGCTTGGATATGGTGAAATGGTTGGGATATGCAGAAATATGCCAGGGAAACTCAAAATCCTACAGATGCAGAAATATGCGTCCCACTGGGATGTACTTGAAAAACACTGGAAAATGGTGGAAGAATTAAATAGTATATATGTACTTTTTCAATGAGATAAAATTATAAATCTTTTTTTTTTTTGATAAATATTTTCAATGATACAAATCTTATTTTAATGTTAAAAAATATGCTAATTTCAATGATCAATTTTTCTTTTTCTAGTTTTCTGTTTGAACAATGATAGCACTGTTTATTTCAATTAAAAGGGAGTTTAGAAGTTAAATAAAACCCATGTTATTTTAGTTCTCAAGACATCATTGTAAATTTGTAATATGGTTGAGTGGTAAGTACTTCTCTGCTCTGACCGGAATTCGAATTGTATAGTTGGGGTTTAAAAAAAAGATTTGAATAATAGCAATTGAATAAGGATTTCATATGGCAAGATTTGAAATACTACTGGATTTAATGGACGAAATTAATGGATTAAATAGAAGGCTGACAACAGATCAGCGGTGATGGCCTAAATCCTCTCTTTCATGCACGCTGCACCCTGAAATTTACGTTTAAATAGAAAACCACGTAAACATTACAGCTCAACAGCCGTTCACATATAAAAGAGGTTCTTTCAATCATTTACCCGTTCCAGAAATGTTGTTGAGGCTGCTTATACCAAGTCTGATGTAACAGACTAAAAAATATTGGGAGAATAGAGATAAGAGATATAATGGAGAATGATTGCAAATGAAAAGAAACTTGGACAGCGGAAACTGTAAAGGATTGAAGATTTCTCCTTGCCAGGTTGCACCTAGGTTATAGGGTTGTCTGGGGAGAGGGGCAAACGGCCATGTCACTCTATCACTGCTCTCATAATCTTATTCAACTACATCAGCTGTAACACCAATTGAGCTGGCTTGACTTGGGATTGTATCGTTCGGTAAAACCAATTGGACCAAGCCGTCCTCTGTTGTTGGTTCATGTCCTATTTGGTATGCATCTATCAGGAATTGATGCTTTGAGCTTTTCTTTATTCTGTTTGGTTCCTCAGCAATAATCTTCTTGGATTACCATGGTGGTTCTGATGCCATGGCTGAGTAATGTGAACTGAGGATGTTCAAGGGTGAAAGCAATTTGATGGAGGCCCATCCCAAGGCCCATCTGACCCCTAGGGGCGGCAGCTCCTAGGATAAGGTCAAGAGTCCAAGATAAGTCAAGAAAGGATAATAGGATAATTCAAGATCCATTAAGACTCTTCCAAAACTCCAAGACTTATCAAGAATCCAAGAATATCAAGACTCTTCCAAGAAGCATCAAGAAATCTAAGACTCCCAGATTCATGCATAAGGAGAGCCAAGGAGATCGGACGGTGGAAGATCAAGCCCAAGAATTCCAAGAGGGTTCGACCTTATCAAGACAGCCCAAGAGGATCAAGATCAAGATCAAGACTCATGTTCTTTCCTAGTTCTTTTACAATTCCCAAATGTATTATAAATACTGCTATTTTCCCAAAGTTAATCATCAATTCATATTTCAGATTTTCAGAATTTCTTCAAATTCTCTTCTTCCTATTTTCGCCACCTTTTCTCTCTCCTAGAGAAATCGGTGTTTTTCGCTAGGTGCTAACGAACGCCCGATGCTTGCATAGCCAGCTCCGGTTCTCATTGCTTCCACGCTGCGTCACAATTTGTATGAAAAAAGGCATCTTATGACTGACATTAATGAAGCGTAAATTTTACAACAGGAGAGATTATACAAGGCACAAGCTACTGAGGATAATGAATAAAAAGGAGGTAGCTGAGGATGAAATCACTCTATGGTGTTGCCTTCAGTTCTTTTTTAGTAGCAGAAGCCAAGCAAGGTTACTATGCTACACACATTGGCAACCAGCACCCTCAGTTGTGACGACTCTCTTCTTTTGTTTACTTAAAAAGCAACTGGATTCTTTACATTTGGACCATTTTGGAATCTTCTTGTCTTCATTCTTCCATATTTTTGCAGCCAGGAACTTAAACAGGCTCCTCATACAAGTTGTCATTGCAGTGACAAGTTCTCTGCAGAATAAAAATAAAAGTTACACCTCTGAAACATTTAAAAGCAAAGATAAAAACAAAAATGACAACCAATCTATAATCCTACAAACTGATATTGGCAACTCAAGCAGACAGACAAGACCACTACCACCTAGGAACACAGGTAAGAATACCAAAAGTATTGTAGACTAGAAGTTTCATTTTGATTTCCCTTGATTTGACACATTCAACTCACGTCCATAGAGCAGTTAACAGTAACTCCGCCATGGTAGGACCTTTCACACTGATATGATATTCTAGTGAATGAGTTGTTCGTGTCTGCAATTATATTTTATCAGCTCTACTATGTGCAATAATATCTGCAACATGGGTATAAAGAGCTTAAAAAGGTTATTCCTAATTTAATTTTACCAAGGTGCCTTCTGAATTGCCCATTCAGAGTCTAACTAGCATTGAGCGACTCCCAGGGGAATAATAAGCAAAATTCACTTGCCCAAACTAATGCATGAAGAAAATAAAAATCAAGTAGTTAATTCATTTTTCAGGGCTACTTAGTTAATCATGAATTTCCTTGGTTAGCTATTTTCAAAGTTTTTGCATGAAAAAGGAGCTCCCTTGAGCAAACATTGACTTGAAAAGTCATGGCTTATCTCTGTAATACACTGGCCTTAACCTTGAAAAGCAATAATTATGTAAAAATAAAAACTATCTCTATAGCAAGGCAAGTTGATATCAAGTAACGAATTTTAGCACTTTTTGACAAAGAAAAATATAAAAAGAAAAGGAATGTCATACATACAGTGGAGAACAAGAAGATCGGCGACCATTTATGTAATAGACAAACAAGTATGCATCATAATGTTGGCCCTGGATGTAATAAAAATTTGACAATCTCCGTATGCACTTGAACAACATCTTCTTGTAGAATGTAATGGCTGGATCATTGTAAGCAATCACATGCAAGTAAACTGCTTGACAAGTAGGAATTCTTGATGCATATTTGGTAACCTCTCGAATAAGTGAAGTAGCTGATATCCAACAAATAAACACCATTTTAGTAGGTCAAAGAGGCATTCACAAAATAACAAAACAAATTAGAAGAAAACTTATTACCTATCCCAAGATTTCTGTAAGGCTCTACTACACCCAGTGTCAGAATATAAACAAGTGTTTGGTCTATCCTTGAAGGGTCATGTCGAAGTGTATCTGCTATCTGTCAGGCCGATGGTTGGTTTCAACAAATTGTTACCTTTTAATACACATAAATAAGAGTAACTTACATTTTTGAATGTTAACAAAGACAAATCCTAACCTCACTTTCATTTGCTGGGATAATACGTGCGGTGACAAATCCAATAAGTTCATCACTTTGAGAGCCAGGTCTACTGCGGTCAACAGCTCCCCATGAAACAATGTCACGGCCATTCACAACATTGAGGAAGAACTCAGACTCATACCTAAAAATGGCATCCTCAAGAACAAAATCAGAATGCTACACACACACAAAACGCATATACCAACCTGGGTAGGCATCAGAGCATTTTCACCTGATAGGAAAGAGATCAGCATGTATCTTCTCAAGAACTTGAAGATCAGAAGGTGTTATAGGTCTATAAGCAATATTTGGACAATGTTGGGCTTTTGGATCCACCATCAAGGATTATGGCATTAATCCCCTTCAAAGATATAAAATACTTGGCAAACATATAGAAGAATCCTTTTTTTCCCATTCACACATCTCCCATGGAATCAATCAAGCTGTTATTGCAAACCATGAAAAACATTGTTTTATCATTGTTTATCTGGAATTGAAAAGAGAAAAGATAACGAGTACGTTTTCAGTTGTACTAAAAACCAGAAATAGATGACCAAATATGATATTCAGTCCCTCACAGATGACCAAAATATTTAATTTCTGCTGCAGTAGGTATAGTTGAAACCAAAATAAATATTGAAAAAGTTTAATTTTATCAAGTTGCTATGTCTTCATTAAGTTTGCTTTATTTCCTTCTTTCTTTGTTGGCAGTGACTAATTTCTTTCATGAGTTCCATGATGAAGTTGGTTGAATTTGAATTACCAAAAATTCCCTGGTAAGCTTTCAAATTTGATGCTAATCATGAATAAATTCTTCTAAATGTGTTATGTATGGCTTTCTCTGATCCGTTAGGGAAATTTGAGCAATGTGAAAAAAGAGAGGAATTACTGAGTTTCTTCTTTTCATTGTTGTATATCCAGGTGAATGAATCTTTTTAATCTAGAGTTTGTCATAATGCTTAAGATCATTATTACTATATTTTTTACTGCAGGAGACAGGAAAAAGGAGCTGCAAAAAACGAAAAAAAAATGCAGCCATTTATCACTTAGGTGACTCAGGTAAGTCTAATATTCTGAAACATTTATCATTATCACCCGTAAACCAGGTTGAGTTGATGTTCAGTGTAATGTACGGTTACCTTAGTCAAATTTATCCTTTTAAGTTTTCCTTGACATATTCTATTGAAGGAAATCTATCTCAATTCTTCCATGATTTCCAACAAGTAAAAGTGACAAGCTTGCATCTATACATGTTGTAATCATTCTAAATTTTTGTTTAACCCATTACTTATTGAATATACAACTCATTAAAAGATATACTGTTATTTACACTATCAATAGTTTTGTCATTCATAATGTAATGACAAATTCATGAACTCCAACTGTTTAGCACTTTTATCTGTACAACTACAATCACTTTGAACATGGCATTTTTTATAAAAGTGCTGGAGGTCTAGGGTCAATCGTGAAGTTTAAAATTACTATAATACAATGTTAAGGGCCATTACTTGGTGTATTGGTAAATCTTGGGGTAACAAGCAAGAGAACACAGGTTTGAGTCTGAGAACATTCACTTTCTACAAAAATAAATAGGGTTAGGTCCCTGTCCAGTCCACCCCTCCCAAGCAGGGACCAGCATTGGGTAGCGCCCTTTTTATAAATAGTGATTTAATCTGTTAGGCATAAAACCTGGCACCCCAGGATAATATGCAACTCCTCTATCTCTTGACTCTTTTAATACAATTACCCCCAGGAAAAAAAAATCATAATGGTGGTTTAATCTGTTAGGAACTTCTCTTTTAAGTTCAACAAATTTGAACCGGATGGTGCATGCTCAGTAAACATTTAACAGTTGAAACACATCTTAGAAAAGAGCAACATCCAATGAACAATAGAACAATAAAACCTGGGACTCTTCCTGGGATCTTGAAGTCTGCCATGTAAAAAAGCTAAAACATCAAATTCCAAATAGGGGAGGGGAGGATTAATGCTAATCCCTATTCCAAAATAATGAATGGAACCAGTATTTCCGGATTCCTACTTTAGGGTACCAATTAACCATATAAAACACATAAATATTCTCCAAAATCATCATCCAACATCCTACAGAGACAGAGTCAAACTAGGTGGTGGAGGTGATTAAGCCCATCAGCATCAAATGATAAAAGAAGAAAGCTAAAACTCTCTCTTTTGGTAGAAATTTATTAAACTCAGAAAAGTCAGGTTCGTCAAATGACGGACGCAAAGAACACTCCTACTTATGAGATCAGAAAACGAAACTAAGACAATTATATCATCTAAATTTGTATACTAAATTCAATTTGTATATTAAAATTCAATCTGACTGCCAGGAAAAAAATGAAAATAAAAGAATTATCATTCGAATCATTTAACAAAGTTCAAACTTTTCAGTAAAAGAACAAACCCGTGAATTTCAACTGTGCAATAAGTCGAGAGATGAAGAAAATTCGAGTCAGAAGACACACAACCAGTGAGGACTTGAGAGGAACGAAACAGATAGATCAATAAACTAAATACCTGAAATTTAAACTTGTAAAGTATAAATTTCTTGGTGGAAGAAAAAAAAACAGATAAAAATTTTCTCTTTGGATCAGGAATGGAAGATCATACCTGATTTCGGGGAAGCAATTTCACAGGCAAAGGAGAAGGACGTTGGAATATAAGAGTTGCAGAGAAAATAATAAAAGAGAGAAAAGTTCCTTTCTTTCTTTCCTTGTTTCCTTGGGAAGTCGTCTTTGGAATAAAGAATGTGAGCGTGTTGGTATTCCGGTTGTTTATGATTCTGAAAGGTGACTCGCAGTTCACGTCCACCGTTCACGCTTCACGTTTGCGGTTTACCTGTCCTTGAGCTTGAAGACGAAAACGCCCCCATGAACTCTGCAGATATACCTGCCAACGCCATGAATAGGGTGATGGGTTACCCGATAACCCGCCCCACCTTAGCCCGGTCGTGCCTGCTCCATTCTTATGAATGTGGAAACTGGAAACTGTTGTAGGATTTTAATTATTTTGTACTCCTTTCGCTTCGGCAGAAACCAGAAAGATTTTGATTCAAGCAGAGCACTTCACATGAAAAGAATCTTTAACTATGAATTGATTCACCCAAATTTGATTCTGAGCTCACTGCAGAATGCAACCAATCTTGAATCTAGAATTAACTAGCCTAATTATGAATCATGGATTGTGAATCAGACATGAACTCCATTGTATGAGCATAGCTTCCACTTTTCATTGAACAAAAGTGCAGAAGAGAAGACCAGGTATTAGCATAATTTGTTGTGAGCTGTAACGTTGGACCTTGGTTCTCCAGAGTTCTAACTCTATTAACTAGGCTCCAAGGACTTGGTCAAACCTCCATGTGCTACAAATCAATGCCCTTAATTTTGCATATTCCATTGATAAGCTTTTTTCCAGAAATTTGCCCAATATTATATTATAGGAAATTTATCCTTATGTAGATTGTAGGGACTAGAGAGTTCATACTGAGAACAAGAGAGAACAAAAGACACAGGTCTGCAGTTCAGAAGACTTCATTCTGAAAACTAAAATTTGCAGGAATCTCAGCAGAACCGAACTATATCTTGTCTTGTTTCATTTCTTACTGTTTCATTTTACCTGTACTGCATCACCTCTTTGTATCACTGGCACCTGGGCTGCATGTCCATTATGTTTGGCCTGAATGTCCATTACAAAACTGGGTACAGTTTCCAATCTTGTTCTGTTTCAGATATCTTCACATTGACTTGAAGTACCGATTCCTTTCACATGGGTATGCTAGATATTAGCTTGGAGGGAGCAAAGCTGCTTTAATTTTTTGTGATCCATAGAAACTGTATGTTCATATAATGAACATACATATAGAAGAAACCCATGTGTTTAGGCAAGCCATTAATTGATAACTGAGATTGGTTTAGTGTGAAACAGAATCAGAGGGCAATTTTGCACAATTCAGCATGTTCAAGGATTTCTATCATTTGGATTCTAAAACGATGTTTGGAGAAATCCACTGAGATTACAAATTTTAAAATCCATAAGTGGCTAGTCAAATTAAAATCTACATTCAGATCATGAAATCTGCAATAATCCAACATGGGTCTTGTTTGAAATGCCCCTTTATACAGAGAGACGTTTGCGGCATGTCATAAGATGATCTCTTTGGATCAGATCAGTACTATTAATGGGAGCCATATAGATCATCTGAAAGGTGTTCAACGAGTTAGCTCCCCTAATGGAATTGATAAATGTTAGAAAGAGACAAATTGGGAAGTGGGAAGGAACCCCCTTTCCAAGAGAGAAGAAAGAGCAAATGTGTAGGAAAAGGCCATGGTCCATGAATTTGTTGTTTTGTCTGCAAATTTGAGCATCCAACCTTGGCTTTGTACAAGCAAAAAACCTTTTAAAGGGTTGGTAAGAGCGTCAGGATCGATGCATCAGTAATGAGCTAAAATGTTTTCAGGCTAAAATATTTGATCTATATTTTGTCTCTTGTACGATGAAAACAAAGTTTCCACCAACAGTCAGTCATGTAAAAGCTCAAGTCTGCAAACAGATTAACTACATATAGCAAATGCGTCCAGAGTTACGTAGCAGTGGAGAGGGGTTGTCGCTTATCATTCTAATCTATCCCAACAATGCATGAATCGCGCCAGTCTCATTTTTCACTGCAACCCAAGACTTCAACCCCTCTTCCCCTCTGTAGTGCGCGATCTGACGCTCTCTATTGGCAGATAGTTAGATGTTCGGCTGAGGATGTCGCGTAGTTGAGCTATAAAGAAAATTAGGTTAGAGTTAGAGGTGTAAATTGAGTTGTGCCGCCCACAGCTCCGTATGGTCCGGTTCAATTTTGGTTTCAACCATTGAAATCAAGTTAGAATTTTGAACCGTCAATGTAGGTAAGTTCAATTAAATTAATTTTTATTCTTTTTAGAATTTAAAAAAATGGTCAGCTCCTCCTGAAACCATTCTCCTAATGTTCAATGTCAACGATATTTAGTCGCATCATGATAGTGTTAGCACCGATATGGATGCTATTGATATTGAGGGAACTTCCACCTCTAATACTGATACTAAGGGAAAGAAAAAAATGGTCTCTAAGTTGATTAGCCCGACTTAGAAATATTTAAAGGGAATGGAAAAATGGTTGTTTGCCAAAAATGTAGAAAAGACTAGCTATTGTAGTAAGGGTGGTACTAGCCATTTGAGTAGACATGCGTTCACCTGTGAGAAAGAAGAAGAAAAAAAAAAGAAAAAGGGAGAAAAACAACACAAACACAAACACAATTTTTTTTTTTTTTTTGTGGAGGGGGGGTTGGAACATTTAAATATTCTCAAGAAAAAAAATGAGGCAAGAATTAGCAAAATACATTGTACATGTTGAATAACCATATTTGTTAGCTGAAGATACTAAACTTGAAAAATGGTTACTTAATTCTATAAATCCACAATATAAAAAAGTTTCTAAGAATACTAATAGGTCAGATGCTTTAAAATTTTTTTTATTCATATGAACAAAATTTAATTTATATGTTATCAAATCTTAATTCTAAAGTTGCAATTACTTTTGATATTTGGACTTCTAAATTTAACATAATTTATATTTGTATTATCGGTCATTTTATTGATGAAAATTGGCTTTTAAATAAAAGAATTTTAAGTTTAACTAGGCTTGAATGGTCACATACTGGCCCAGTTATTGCTACAAGCATTTTAAATACTTTACATGATTATGGAATTGAGAATAAATTATTTTTTATTAGTTTTGATAATACTTGTAATAGTGATTCATCAATAAATATTTTAAAATCTCAATTAAAACTATGTTTAAATAGTAAATTATTTCATATTAGATGTGCATGTCACATCTTAAATTTATGTATTCAGGATGCTTTAAATATTATTTCTACTCATATTTCTAAAATTAGAAATTGTATTATATATATTAAAAATTTTGGAGCAAGAATGAAAAAAAAAAGTTCTGGAACAAGAAAACAAAAATTTAAATATTTATATCAAAATTATGGTTTAAAATATAAATATTTTATATTAGATGTTAAACATAGATGGAATTCTACCTATGCTATGTTAGAAAGTTGCATTTCTCATAAACAAATTCTTACTGATTTTTATAACGCAAAAATGCCTAATGATATTATATTTGAAGAAGACTGGAAAATGACAATTTGTATAAGAGATTTTTTAAAACATTTTTATGATGCAACTAATGAATTATCTGGTATTTATTATCCAACTAGTTGTAATTTACCTTATAAATTAATGGCAATTAGTGATTGTTTTGCAAAATATAGAAATAATCCACAATTTAAAAATATTGTTAGATATTTTATTTGAAACGTATTGTGAAAATATAAATATTGAAATTGGAAATAAAAAAAGAGGAAATTAATAGTTTATTATTTGAAATGTACAGTTTATATAAAACTAAAGTAATAGGAAATAATTCTACAAGTTGTACAGTTGCATCTTCTACTTTTGAACTTAAGCCCAGTAGTAGAAGAGAAAAACTTTTTTATTTTATAAGTAGAAGGCAAAAATCTGCTACCTTAACAACCAGTTCATTTACTGAACTTAATTTTTTTTTACAAACAAATTTTTCTACTTTAGGTGAGGGAATAAATAATTTTGATATTTTAGCCTGGTGGAGTGAACATTCAAAAAATTATCTGGTTCTCGCCGCCATGGCACGTGATCTACTAACACCTCCGATGTCTATAGTTCAATTGGAGTCTTGTTTTAGTGGAGGTACTAGGGTGTTGGACGACAAGAAAAGCTGTCTGAATGATGAAAGTATAGAGATGTGCATCTTCTTTAAAGATTGGCTGGATGTTGAAGACAGATTACAAGACAAAGGAGGGCATAACACTATACCCGATATTTCACATGAAGCAAATGATGAAAGTGATGAACAATAGTTGTATAGCATTTTTCAAATTATTGTAAATTTTGTTTTAATTTTATTTAATTTATTTGCTATTTTTTAACAATGTAACTTTGTATTTTCAATTTGTAAATATATTGTATTTTTTATATTTTATTTATTTATTCCATTTTCCATTTTCATATTTCATTCATCCAAGTATCCAACCATTGTATGCTTTGTAATTTGTATCATTCAAATTTAAATAAAATAGAATTCCTATTTTTCTTCTAATTTGTTATTCCATTCTTATTCGACTAAGTTTTTTTCATTTATTTGTTAGATTTATCATTTCTTATTTTTTTCAAATAGTTCCCAAAGCCCAAAGGAAAAATTAAATATTTTAGTTTTACACTTTTACTTAGCAAAGAAATAAAAAATCAAAAATTAAAAGAAAAAACAAAAAGAGGTAAAAAACAGTTTGGCACAGTTCAGCCCATGCCCACGCCCACGGCGCGGCCTATAGCCCAGCCCGGCCCAGGCCTATGGCATGGCATGGCACGGTATGGGCCCACACGGGCTTGGGTTGTGGGTCGTGCTAGGTTGACCCCCCAAGTTATCCCTAGGGAGGACGGCACGGCATGACTGGCACTTTTCGCGGACCGTGCTGTTCTAGCTCGACATGGCCGTTTTACACTTCTAGGTTAGAGTGTCTGGGTTGCTTTACCCGGGGTGGGAACTCTGATGCTTAAGTCAATGATAAGTTCTTGGAGAGATATAAAGAGAGAGCTAGTATGCTTGAGAGCTAAATCGTCAGTACCTTTTTCTGTGAATGGGGATTCCTTTATATAGGCTAGTTGCCATAAGACATACGAAGTGCGTCCGAGATCTCCAGCCCATTTGATTCAGAGGTGTTTTCACGCCCAAATACGTAAGTAGGTAATGTCTATCCAGTTGCGTCCAAAATGGGTTGGGTGATAACT